GGGGAAAGGGGAAGGGGAAAGGAGTGGGAGTGGGGGGGGGGGTGAAATGTGGATGGTCATGGATGGATGGTTATGGATGGGTACCGGTACCCTTTCGATGGATGATGGCTCGAGTTCCCCGGGCCGCGGGCATGGATGGGATGGGCTGGGATGGGTTGGATGGGACTTTTGGAGATTGGGAAAGGTGGAGATGGTCTGGACCTCTGCCGCTGCTGGAGGGTTGTGGGCGGGATTTCGCAGCGCTGCATGTGATGGATGGAGGGGGGAGGGAGGACGGAGGACGGGAGGACGGAGGACGGGATGGGGGCTGGGATGGGGGCTGTGTTTAAGATGACTGTGGAGGAGGTGCGGAGGAGGTATGGAGGAGGTATGGAGTATGAGTAAGTGAGTGAGTGAGTGAGTGAGTGAGTGAGTAAGTGAGTAAGTGAGTAAGTGAGTAGGTGAGCTACTTCGGGCCTTGATGCATGGGCGTGGATGATGGATGAGGGTCGCTTCATAGATGGATAGATGGTAGGTAGGTAGGTAGGTCCTTGGAGGTATGATATGATTAAGCGAAAGAGAGAATTCCCCTTTTTCCTTCTTTTCTTTTCTTTTTCTTTTTCTTTTCTTTTTTTCCGGGAAGAAGGGAATCAAAAGTGATCTATCTATCTGCTTTGGCTACACGCGTGAAAGCAATGGACGCTATATATATATATATGTGTGTGTGTGTGTGTGTGTATGTATCTGCATCTCCAAGTGAGTGACTACGGTATTATCCATCCCTTGTATCGAAGCAGGAGAAGCAGCAGAAGCAGCAACAGAAGAAGAAAAGCTTGGCTTCTCCCCTCCCTCCTCCCTACTAGAGGTACCGGTCGGCAGGCAGGCAGGCTATCATCGGACGGAGACTCGGTAGGGAGGGAGGTACCGTACCTCCCTATCCTCTCCTCTCCTCTCGTGCAACTACTCGGTATTCGGAGAGGCAACTTCGGACGACATATGGACTAACTACCGGTAACTATCGACTCTACCTTTTCTACCTTATTCCAAGGTGATGGTGATGCTGATGCTGATCAGCGATCGATCGATCGATCGATCGGCTTTTGGATCCGAACGCTACGGGAAGAGTAGGTAGCAGATCTCGACGTAATGGCGAGAGGGGGCGGGAGAGGCTGGATGTTGTATGACCTGTTGCTACTTTGTGTATTCGTCGATGGCTATCTTGTGTGTTTTGTCTTTCCTTTATTTACGGAGGAGCACATAGAGGGGGACAACACACAGAGAGAGAGCATCGATAGCTGTTGATCCTACCGGCCGCAGCGGAATCCTTTTTCCCACGATACCCATAGCAAGTTTGCCTCGGGCGTGGCCTAGATTCATCGTTGACGCCATACATTTCTTCTGTCCTCCGGCGAGAGAGGGGCTTGGCGGTACTCTATTACGCTATGCTATATACTATGCTATGCTATGCTATGCTATGCTATGCTATACTATGCTATACTATTCTAGCATATCAGTTGGTTCGTTGGCTGGACAGATATCCTCTCTCCGTCGGAGATGCGAGGAAGGAGGGGGGGGAGGGGGGATTACCTATTCGTCTGCATATTTCGTGTTGGTCGTCGTTGCTGTGTTCTTGCTGTTACGGAGGGGCCCCCTTTCACAGGGTTTCACAGGGCAACAAGAGGCCAGCACCACCGACAGAGTTCTTCTCCGCCTCGTGCCGACCAGGGGGCCAGGGGGCCATGGGGGGGGGGAAGGGGGGGCCACAACAAGAGCCGCTCCGGGAACTTCTGTCCCTGAGGGGTTGGTTGCACTTACTACGACTACGTACTACTACTACCGTACATTTACACTTCCACTTCCATTTCCACTTCCACTTACTCTTGCCGTACGGGGTTCTGGGAATGCGCCCTTCAGGGATAAAGTCTAAAAAGTCCACTATGCATCCCTGCCCCCCTCCCTCTTTCCCCATACCGACCCTTTTTACTGTGCCGATACTGGTGATCTGGAAGATGGGCATTCACTGGAATTCCGAGATGTGCTGAGTCAGGGACTGCATTTACGTGCCCCTTCGAAACATCGAACCCGCGAAACAAGAGCGGCGGGCCAAAAGGTAGTCGTGGGTTTCGGCGATCGGTTCCCAGGCTGGGCTAGCCAGCAGAAGGGAAGGGAGGTGGATGAAACAAACCACAGATCTGAGCGACCTCTTCGACCGACCCTCCTGTACCGGTACTTGTCTCTCGACCCGAATCCAGCAATGAAAAAAAGCAGAGTAATCCGACAAGATGGAATATTAAGGGTTGATACAGGACGTTCGACAAAGTGCAGACCAGCCGCCGTCCGGGTGTTCTGATTGGTGACCCGTGACGATCCCCGTGACTTGGCTGTTTGGTTGTTGACCGTGTTTCCTGCCGTAGGGCAAGTACGAGGAGTAAGGCCGTCTTGTCTCTCCTTGTCTTCCTTCTCCACATGGCTGGATTCCCCCTTCAGCCCGAGGCTCGCGGCCATGCTCATGATCAACTATGAACGATTACGGTACGGTATCGACGTTCTCTGTCCGTCTCTCTCTCTCTCTCTCTCACACTCACACAAACTCTCTCTCCTGCTCGGTTTCCCGGGGAAAAACAAGAGGACACACAGCCTGAGAGCCAAGACGCATACGCAAGTGACCCGGCGGGGGGAAAAGGCATGGACATGGGCATGGTTTGGGACCACCGGCCCGTGGGAGTGGGAGTGGGAGGGGGAGTGGGAGTGGGAGGGGGAAGAGGTGGACGTGGACGTGGACGTGGACGTGGACGTGGACGTGGACGTGGTTACAGTCCGTGTATAGTGGAAGTGGTATAGTAGTATAGTTGTGTCGTAGTAAAGTAGAATCGTAGTCAAGTAGGATGGTAGTATAGTAGTATCGTAAGGTAGTAGTAGTAGTATAGTCGTAGAGTAGTATAGCAGTATAGCAGTTAGTAGGATAGTCGTACAGTCGTACAGTCGTACAGTCGTACAGTCGTCTAGTAGTATACTCGTAAACATTACCACAGATAGTAGAAGAGTAATATATTACTTTATATTGGCACATTAGCATATTAGCATATTAGTCAGTAGTGTACGGAGTAAAAGGGGGGTCGGAGTAGTACTACCCCACCTAGAGTTACTCCGACTACAGCGACTATGTGTGTACTTACCCGAACAGGCTTAGTCCCACCTCATCGTTCTAGGCCAGGCTGGGCTGGGCTGGGCCGGGCGCTAGGGGAAGCTGTCACCCATGCAGATAGCGCGGACAAGTGGATGGATCAAAATCTGGTGTCTTTCCCTCTTCTTCCCTCCAATCCTCTAATCCTCCTCTAATCCTCTAATTCTCCAATACTCCAATTATCCAATTATCCAATTCTTCATCTGCATCTCCATCTGCATCCGCATCCGCATCTGCACCTGCATCGGCATCGGCATCGGTATCTGCACCTGCATCTCAACCAAATACGACCAACGACGTACGACGACCACCCTATCCATCCAATCTTTCGGCTCCAAACAGAAACCCTGTTGCGCGCGTGGTGGTTAGGCGAAGTGCAGATTCTGGCCCGTCGGAAGAGAAAAAAAAAGTCCTCGCTGCCACCTCTTCCTCTACCTCCACATCGACATCGACATCGACCCCTCCGAAACTCTGCGAATCTTTTCCAGTCGCTGGTGACCACGTATATCTGTGCACAAAAACGACAACAACCGCAACCGCCACGCACAGGTCCCAGCCAGCCGGCAACTCGTCTGAACAACACAAGAACACACAAGAGATTCAACATGTCGCCAGTCGCGTCCTCATAAGCATGCGATGAGTCTCGACTTCACACACTCCACGCCGATCCTGAATCACCCAAACGCCTACACTGAAAACCCAAGAATGTCACTCAAGCTCAAGCCGCTACTGCTCCCGCAGCTGGTGGAGGAACGGAGGAGGAAGGAGAGCTTGTCGGATCCGGACATAGACCTCTCCTCGGCTTCTTTTTACACGCAGAATTCCTCATCCGTGTCCGAGACTCCGTCTCCCGTCACGCCAACTTTTTCGACTCGCAGCCACTGGCGATACCCCAGTACCGCGTCCATATCATCCGCTGAGTCCTCGCCAACCTCTCCAACGTTCGTCGGAAATGGAACCCCAAGCAAACGATCGCTACCCGACGTCCAAGAGGAACCTCAGGAGAGAGAGGGGGACTCGGACATCTTTGGACGTTTCAACGCGCAATGGTTATGTAAGTGCCAACGGACTGTGGGTTTGTTTACCAACCGGGTTTCGGAAAGCTAAACAAGAGAGAAGAGGGGGGGGGGAAAGAGAAAATGGGCTAACGGCTTTCACTTGTAGGCGATGACCAGCAATGCTTGCACCGTGATCCAAGCATGGTGCAAAGCTCCGTACCGCCGCCAGCCAGATCCGAGCTCGACTATGACCTGGCCGATGACTTCTATCACGACGCAGAATTCTCAACAATCCCACGAAATAAGAGCCAGCGAGCAGAAGAATCGCCCTTCACTGGCCTCGCGACGCGATTCGGCACGAGGTTCCCTTCACTCTCGCGTAAATGGAAATCGCGAAAGGGGTCGACGGGTGCGACATCGACCACCTCCGAAACGCAGATGGAGAATGCGACCTCGCGCGGTGCTTCGAGCCGCTCATCATCTGTCTCCAACTTGCCGCGACAGGCGGTTGAAAAGCCGTGCGAGCCGCAATTGCCCCCGACTCCTACCAGGAGCGATTTCAACGACCGGGACGAGATGGCAACTGCTGCTCCAATCGACATTGTGAGAGCCAATATGCGCAGTAAAGATCACGAGGAAGATCTCGCATCTACGCCCCTTCTGCCTCCCTTAACGATGGACGCGTCCGCCAACGTCAAACAAGTATCCGTCCAATCGCCATTGCAATCGCCATCTGTAGCAGAAGCCAGTGATCCATTCGCGTGCGTCTCGCCGATCGACTCCATCCTAGCACCCTGCTTTCCCTCACCATCGCTCAGCACCAAGCCATCTATCTCATCCTTCCACCGTGGGGCCACCACGCGTCCCGGCCACTTCGTCCCCTTATCCGAGATCCCCCCCATCATCATCGCGGACCCGAACGACGAGTGGGCCAACAAGCTCGGCCACGCCAACTTCACCATCTACCCCGAGCCATACGTCCCCGAAAGCTTCGACCTCGAGGCCTGCCGCCAGCTGCGCAAAAACTGGGACCTAGCCCGCTGTAACTACACTAAGCACCTCGTGCGCACCGGCGAGCATTACGGCGTGACTTCCAAGACCTATCGGTTGACAGAATCCAAGTGGGAGGCCATAGAGGCGGCCTGGCGCCGGAGCAATGAAACCACCATCGCCAATACCATCAAGAACGGCAGTGAAGCTTTTGTCTCGCTCAAGCACGCGACCCTCAACGACGGTCGCAGCCCCAACATCATGACCCAGATCCCCTCTCTCAACGACCCGCGCTCCGAGGGCAAATTCCCGCAGCTTGGGGACGAGGACATTGTCGGTCCGATGGTCCAGGCCACGGCGCAGCTGCGGCGCACTCCCAGCAAGAAGGAGAAGCTGTTGCGATTCCTCGTTGAGAAGTTCCCTGTCGGATTAGGGCGCGCGTAGAACTCGCCTCACGGCCCCCCCATGTGTCTCCAGAGACCGTGTTTTGTCTGAACATGCTCACGCGAACTCCCATTTTGATTTTGTTGTCTGTATCAACACCCCCCCCCCCGCCTTACGAATATTACGAAATGTCTGCTCTTTGTTACGCTTGACAAATACCCACGCTCTTTGGCAAGCTCGGCCGATATCTTGTTTTCCTTTCTTCACTTCTTTCGTACGACGCTGTATCAGCTGCCTTATTGTCTATTTGCTAAGCTAAATGCCACTGGACCGCTATCCTCCTTCTTCTTTGTTTTGGTACAGGATTTTGTTTTTCTTGGTGTTCTGAAGGAAAGGGAGGGAAAAGGGCGGAGGGGAGCGGAAATCGGATCGAACACAAGGCAAAGGATATGGGGGCGCTGGCGCTACTACTGAGAGGTGCTCACTTTCGGGGACGTGTATATACCATCTATCGGGTGGGAGCAGGAGATGCGAGTTGCAACGTGGTGAGGCTGGCTGCAGCTAGATGAGGGGAGGCGCGCAGCGAGGGGTTAAGTATTGTGAATATGGCGGCTGGTACCTGAGCATCCCCTCGTGGGCTGCAAAGGGAAAGCGCAGTCTAAGAAGTGTGTAAGGGACCAGCGGTGTAGATAGAGGTGTGCGTGTGCGTGCCGGGGGGAGGCATGGCCCGAGTGACACGGTGGAAGAGGCTGCGACCCGTTAAGAGGGTAGTAGAAGAGGGGTAGTAGAGTAGCAAGAACAAATCAAAAACATGACAACAGTTTTCCTCTACTTTATTTTCCTCTTCTGTGGTCCTCCATAAAAAATTTCCTTATCTTTCTACATGAAGTGTAAATTCCCTGCTCTAGCTTCGCTAGTTAGTGACTAGCTTCGCTAGTTGGTTATAGCTTCGCTAGTTAGTTATAGCTTCGCTAGTTAGTTATAGCCAGCCATGCCCCCGTCTGTAAACACCGGAAACGGGAAATCGGATCTATTGAACTCTCTCTTTCTGAATCTACTACGTACTACAGGTAAATAATATACGTGGTAACTTTTGAATTAGTCGTAGAAAGAGAAGGAGGGAGAGCTGTGCTCGATACTCACAATGCTCTATTTTTCCTCCTCTACTTCTACCCTACTACCGGTACTTCCCCATCTTCCCATCGCCCCATCTTCCCCCCCCCCCCCCCCGCCTTTTCCGCTTCCGCGACGCTCGCTCTCACCGCCTCACGTCTCTTTTCTCCCGGTACGGTACGGTACGGTACGGTACCGGTACCTTATCCGTACGTACGTAGTACACGGGCGTGAAGGAAAAGAAAGAAAAAAAAAAACAACCCCGAAAAACCCCGAAAAACCCCGAAGAACGTAAAAGCGTAAAAAACGTAAAACGTAAAACCTAAAATATCATGACCCAAGCAAGAAATCAGACCCGGAAAAACTGAGCTAGACCCGGAAAACTGAACTAGACCCAGGCAAATCAGACCCGGCAAAAGTATAAACCCCCCAAGAGAAAACTATAACCCCTAAAAGCTAAAGCGTAACTTTATACAGCAGTAGTACGTAGTACTACTACTACGTCGTAAAAAAAAATAAAAAAAATTAAAAGTAAAAGTAAAAGTTGGGAAAATGTGCGCTTGGAAATACGTGGTAGTAGTAGTAGTACTAGTAGTAGTAGGGAGGAAAAAAAGAAAAGCTAATTGCTGATTCATGATTGGTAATTTGATGGGGTTTTAGGGGGGAGGGGGGGTTGGATTTAGGGAAAAGGACGAAAAAAAAAAGGGAGGGGGGGGGAGAGGGGGAGAGAGGGGGAGAGAGGGGGAGAGAGGGGGGGATTTGAATGACTACCTAAGGTACGTACTACGTAGTAGTAGTACGGTAGTAGTACTTGACTGGTTAGGTTAGGTTAGGTTAGGTTAGGTTAGGTTATGCGCTTCTTTGGTTGGTTGGTGATGGAAAAAAATGAAAAAAAATGAAAAAAATTGAAAAAAAAAAAATGGATTTGGATTTGGAAGGATATGGAGATTTGAAATGGGGATTTGAAATGGGGATTTGACTGGTTGGTTGGTTTATGCGCTTGCGCTTGCGCTTTGGTTGGTGGTGGGGAGGGAGGGAAGGGGGGGGGGGGTGAGGGAGGGGGGGGAGAGGGGAGGGAAGAGGAGGGAAGAGATGAGGAGAGAAGAGAAGAGGAGAGAAGAGGAGGGAAGAGAGCAGAGAAGAGGGAGAAGAGAGAAGAGAGAAGAGAGAAGTGAGCAGAGAAGAGGAGGGAGGAGGGGAAAGAAGGGAGAGGAGAGAGAGGCATCAAGATATCCAAAATCAAAATCAAAATCAAAATCTAAAAAAAAAAAAAAAAAACAGAAACTACTACTACTACGTACTAAAGCAGAGGAAATCAGAGGAAGTGGATGAGCCTAATTGGCGATAATACATACCTAGGTACCCACTTGTACTTGTACTCACTACTATGTACCTACCTTACCTACCTTACCTACCTTACCTAGCTACCTTACCTACCTACCTACCTACCTAGCTAACCAACGAGATCCTTCCCCCGCCGTACTTACCAAGTAATGAACGGTGCGTAAAGTATCCTTCCCACCCTCTTCTTTTTCCGCTAAATAGGAATTTTTTTTTTCCGATTTTTTTTTCTTTTTTCTGGTTGTTGGAACCCCTACAGAAATACACATAGTAAGTAGTACACACACACACACACACGCACGCACACACGCACAGAGAGAGAGAGAGAGAAGAGAGAGAGTACACTTCTATCTATCTATCTATCTATCTATCTATCTATCTATCTATCTATCTATCTATCTATCTACCCTATCTATCTATCTGTACAGTACCTACACCCAGCCAGCTCGCAAGCAGCCCAGCCAGCCAGCGAACTCGCCTATAAAAGATCACCCACCTACCCACCACCCACCTACCACCCACCTACCCAACCCACCTATCTATCCATATCCCTACTCATACCTACCTGTATAGGTATAGTATATCTACACGTACGTAGTACGTAGTACTTGGACGTACCTACCTACCCATCTCTAATACAATCTATCAGTCGGTCGGTTCTCTGCTAGCAGACAAGACAGTCTACCTACGGTATTTCTCGTTCGCGCACCGCGCACCGCGTTGACAGAGCCGTCTACTTACTTGCTTACTTACTTACTTAACCTTTTCCTCTCTGCGTCTGTCACGTTTCGGGGAGAGGAAATCGGAGATGGGAGCGGTTGAGGTTCAGGATTGGAAGATGCGAGGGGGTATATACATATAATTATTGTAATTTTCGGAGAAAGGACTACGGTATCTATTCGATAAATCTCGATAAATCTCGAGAGGGGTGGCATGCAGCACCGGTGGCCCCCAACCATGTTCCCCTTGCCTTGCACACTTTGTATGTCTTCGTTGCACAGACATCTAATGCACTGTGTAATCTAGTAGTACCTACACAGATGATACAGTCCACATCGCTATCCATGCACACAGACCCGTGCGTACTAGACAATTTTCTACATTTACTACATTCCCAGAAAGAAATCCTCTTTCATCCTGGCTCTGCCCGGCTTCTCCATCACCTGCCTCAGCTTCCCCATGGCGAAATCCAGCTCGGCGTCGTCAGGATCCTTCCACCGCGACCTGATCTCCTCCCACGCCTGCATCGTCCTCTCCCTCCCCGAGCAATTCGAGAATGCTTGGAAGGCCCACGCAATGATCCACTGGGAAATTTCCACGTCCTCGTTCCCGTCGTCGAGGGCCTGGAGGAAGGACTTCCACACGCTTTCGAGGCGAGCTTCGGTCCATTTCGTGTACCGGATGCCCCCGTGCGTGGCGAAACCTTGGAGGAGACGGAGGAAGATGGTCTTGTGGACGCCGAGCCCGAAAACCTTCATGTCGTCGAGGAGTTTGCTGATTTTTTCAAGCTCGCCGCTCGTGTTTGCATAGTGCGTGATCAGGATCTCGAATGTGTGGAGGTCTGGCGCGACGATGGACTTGCTTTGGAACTTCTCCCGGAGTTCGAGATTCGTCTTGGAGATCTTGCCCATGTGCGTCAAGGCGAGGTTGACGACGCGCCGGCGGTGATAATCCCGCGGTGGCAGCTGGGGATGTTCGCGCTCGAAATGCCATGCCTTCATGCGCTCGTAGACTTTCTCGGCAGAGCTTGCTTCGCAAGAGCGGATGAGGGCTGATATCATGGCATTCAGGACCACCGTATCCACGATTTCACCCCCTTCCACGAGAGCTTTATACGAGTGCCGGACACCATCTCCGCTCTTTCTGAGCCCATAGTAGAATATCAGGCTCACGTGGTGGAAGCGATCGTATTCTAAGCCCCGGGTCTCCATCTCTTTGTATATCATCTCAGCGAGGACCAGCTTCCCAGCTTTGCAGGCAACGTCGAAAAGGACGTTGAACGTAGCTGCGGTGGCCTTGACATTTGCCACATGCTCCATTTCTCTCCACAGATGGAGGGCCGCTTCGACTTCGACTTCTGTTGACCTCTTGACATATCTGGCAGCGAAGGATATTGCACTTGTCCATTCGTAAGTGTTCAATGGAATACCTGAAACCTTCATGTCATCGACAACAGACATATATCTCAACATCGAGTTTTCATCTTTCTTCTCCACGATCGAGAGATGATGCATCATACTATGCCGTAACTTGGACGGGAGATATGGAGCGCGTGGTGCGGGGAGAGCCCTGTACAAGCGATAAAGCTCCTCTTGATTTACCGGCTTTTTGGCTTGCCAACAATCCCTCATGTAGATACGTATTTCTTCCAGCTTGATCTTCGTTTCTGGGTCTGAGGGCCATGTGTAGTCTGGGGGAGGCCATTCGTCCTCAGGCTTATCAGAAACTGTGAGGTGTGGTCCGTCGCTGGGTTGGTACAGCTGTGGCATATCAAGCAGCGGAAGCTGATCCGTGTATGATCTCCCAGTAGACTGATCTACTAATTCCAAAAGCTCTTCCTTCGTCCGGTTCGGCTCGAAGGGCTTCTCTTCCTCTGCTCTCTGCAGCTCATCTGTCTCCGCGGATTCGTAGTCGTACTCAGCCTCGAAATCCTGGGTGTGATTATGCCGCTGAAATGTAAATCTTTGGGACTGGCGTCTCCTCAAAGGTACATTGGGCCGTCGTGCGGTGAAGAAACTCGAGGGCTGAGATCTTTTTGTAGGTTTGTGACAGTTGCCAGCGTCTGCGAGGGATTTGATAAACCATGCTTCAAATCCCAACGAATTCGATACCATTGGTACGCGCGGCTTGGGGCGATTCTCTTTGCTATACGAATGTGTATTTCTGAAAAATTCAACTGGGTATAGAAATGGGAGAGCTTGTCGCGGAGCTAGCTTTGACAAAATCGGCCTGCTCGTCGAAGGGGAGGAGCTGCAGAAGAGGGACATGAGCCTCCGGACATATTGAATCGGTGGTCACCGTCTCTGCGCAGCCATGAGAGACCTGAGTCCAAGAAAGTATTGTCCACGGTAGGTAATGGGCGTTGAGTGGGGGGGAAATGTGTCTGTCGATAAGTACCAGCAAGTCGCGTTCTGGGATATAATTTTGTTGCACGGGGAATGCCGAGTCTAAATTCTGTATTAATCACTCCCCGCTTCAATCACAACAAATCCAGCCTCGACAACCAAACCCTTCTGTGAGGATGCCAGTAAATATAGTTAATGCAGCTTGCTAATATACTTCGCAGTCACTAGAGGACAGCTCCAAAGATGAGGGGCCTCAACCTGAAGCCCTCACGTGTGTACCAAGCAGCATCTGCACTCCTCGAGACGGGCAGCATAACCCAACCACCACCATGGTTCAAGACCATTGGGTCGATACCTCCAGCGGAAATTCTGACTCGATCCCAGCCCACTCAGCACAGAGAAGTCAACCATAGATCCCGAGTCCGCAAGCCCAGCAAATTGTTCAAGCCACAAGCGATCGGGTACGAGGAAGACAAACTACGGATCCAGTTCTACAGTGATCATCCATGGGAGCTGGCACGGCCGCGGATAGTGCTAGAGAATGACGGAAAGGATGGGCACAGGTGCGATTGGAGCCGGATACAACAGACTGGGAGACAGCTGAGTGGAGAGAGGTAGGTTCCGCCCTAGCCTCAAAACATGGTGATCTAATATGTGTCAAGTGTTGTTCAACGACAGCTGTGGCTCATCAAAAACACGCAATACACCCCCAACCAAGCATACGATATTGCGCGCAAGGAATTCTATGAGTTACGCCACGAGGAGGAAACCGAGAGGAGGGTGCAACGAGAGGAGGCGACATGGACCGGAGCGTACTTTGGAAAGGGCGTGCTGGAGATTGGAATGGAGCTCGAAGATAAGGCTTATGAATCTTGGAAGGCTTGGGCAACGAAGGAGGTCGATTCGATCCATACTCAACGAGAAGCGGCTTACACTGGAGTTGGAACGGAGCCAGAAGACACCACAGAGGTCTCTTCGTTTGAGGAGGACGAGAACGACGTATTAGCAACTATATAATGACTGTCAGATAGGTTTGGAGTGGATGATTAGATTGTACAAAAGGTGGCTTTGGCCGTGTATATCAATGGTGTCCTGGGTGATCACCTTCCTCTGATACATACATGCCTGGTGATATCTGGACGTTGGCAGTGTCGGACCTGATCTTCTGTGACGACCTGCGTCGGGTTGAGAAGAGCTCGTTATTCTCTACAGAATGGCGATTTAGAGTATGAGAGAGCGCAATTTTCTGGATATTGGAGTCCCCAGAAAACTTCATTTTGACTGGCTTACAGGAAAGATAACCAGGTTATGTAATTCAAGTGCCTCTTCTGAGCCATCACATCTGTCGCGTATCCTTTTCTAAAAGGCACTCTGATTGTGCAGAACTTCGTAAAATACGGTAATCGACCCTAAATCAGGACCAGGAATGGAAAAGTGAAGGGCGGCACTTCTCAGGTCGGTGTTAAGATTCCAAAGAGCGGCATTTCTTCAAGGGGTCTCTCAATTCAACGTCCTTAATGTCATCATTCAACGAGAAATCCTACCCACTCGACCTTCTTCCTAGCTCCGTTCCCATTGATAGTCTTCGCCAGAGTCTCCCATTGCACCAAGAATCTATCACAAATTCCCATCTTCAGAAGAACCTTTCCACTCAAGCTCAAAGTCTTAACTCTCGCCCAGCTCTCTACGTAAATAATTTTCATCTTCGATGTCGGCGCCACGGCAAAGAATTTCAGAGACAATGCAGCAAGTATGACCATTACAGCCGTAGCGGGTCCATTCGTAATGATCACATCCGGATAATGGCCAGGTGCCACTTTTGAAGTTTGTGCCGTGGTGCGTAAAGCTTTCAAACATCCAACGAAGCACCACAGCGAAGAAAATGGAGCGGTCCAAAGCGGCTGATGAATCTTGCGCGCTCGAGGTACGATCTTGACATCCCAAGTTCCAGTCATACAATCTGTCTCTCCTGCTTGCGTTGGCTCTTGTCCTCTTCTTTGTTTGGACTGGATTAATCGCTCAATATCAAGAGCTTTTCTGGCAGAGAAGCTGTCACCAGATGATATGATGTAGGTTCGGTGGGTGTACCGGCGTGGATCTGTGTCGCGGAGGAGGGACATCATTTCTGCTGTGTGGCCGCCGGAGCCAAGGACCATGACCATGTGCGAGGGGGATGTTTTGCGGACATTGGGTCGCCGGCGCGAAGTTGAGGGGATAATGTAGAGAAGTCGGAGCTATTAGAATTAGTAAAGAAGGGTTGAAATTGCAAAGGGCAACTCACGAAGGCTGTTGAAAGTACTATTAAGAGGGCTGCGATAAGTACGCGCAAGGCTGAAAGCGCCATTTTGGATGACTAGTATCGGTAAGGGAAGTTGACTTGTCGTGGAATTGCATCGCTTATCACCCATCACCGAAGGAGCCACCTTTGAGAAATAACAGAAGTATTGCGCATTTTGTAGTGGTGCATTTGTTTGTTCAGAACAGCGCGGCACCCTTTGGAGAGTCTGCCTGATAAGATATTTCCGATAAGAACCTTACTATCGGGACTTGTATGTAAATGTTTTTTGATATCACAGCAAAGCTTCATGTCTGCTGATTGTTGGGTATTGAATTGTTCCCTTGATCATTGACCTGAATCGGGAACCCTTTGGTCGTATGGATCATTCTCGGTTGTTGTAGCGACAATAAAGTAAACCAAAAAATGGACCGAGAATATTCGACTGCTACAACTGTATTTCCGAGGTTCCTTGAAGTTGAGACATTGAGCTCCACTGAACATTGAGACAAGGCTACACAAGGCTGCCGAAAAATTGCCGAGAATACGAAAGTCGAATCCTCGAACAACAACAACAAGAACGGCAGGTTCTCTCACGAACACTCTTCCACTTACTTGCCCTCGTCACGAAATGTTCCTTAGCTGAACATGCCTCACGTCGCTTTATTCCCCCATACAAAAAATATCCACGACCTTCCACCTCCACGTCGCAATTCTTGAACACTGTCCAAACTCCCCAAACTCCCCATAAACACTCAGATTCGCTTCACTCCACTTCACTTCCACGACTTCGCAACTCTTGAATGCTCTCCAAACTCCTTATAACCATTTAGACTCACTTTACTTCACTTCATCTCGCCTTACCTCACCATGGCTCGCCTTGTCTGCTTCTACTGCAGTAATACCTCCAACATCTACTACGATGGCTCCATCCGCAAGTGGGACTGCGTCAGATGCGATGCGACAAACTTCCTCGACGAGAACGGAGAAATCACAGACCCCGTCGTCGCGACGGAGATCGCTCCAGCTAATCTCATATACTCGACGACTCGACCGCCCAACACAGGGTCCGAGTCCGAGTCCCAGTCTACCCTCTTCTGCGCAACATGTCTGAAGAACCAACACCTCTACACCGCGTCGATCGCACAGTACGACTTCGATACAAACACGAGTCGCCGCGGCTACATGCAAGAGGAGCGCGCCTACTTCAAATGGAAGAGGAGTCTCGAGAAACGATACCCGCAAGTATGCAAGGATTGCGAACCCCAAGTCCTGGAGCGCATGCGTAGAGCAGGCAAGACTGCGAAGACAGACCACCTTCGACGTCTTATGGAAAAGTCTCGAGCTAGAAGAGCGGCACCACCCGAGGGCATAACCAATACTCGAATCGTCATCTTCATCGGTCGACTGCTTTGGTACTTTGGTATCCTAGGACAGCTTATCTGGAACATCACAGCAATGGTCAGTGCTGCCCATTACGAAAAAATCACCGGCTTCCTCACTACTACACCAGGCTCTTTTCCAGTTTGGATTAAGGCTCTGCTTGGCTTCATCAACTCCGATACCTGGGCTTGGCGAAGTCTTCAATGCACATATGCGTCTATTTGGTGGTGCCCGAGGGCTAAGGAACTCGAGAGAGGTTTCACAAAGCATATTACTGGATTCCGCCAGTGGTACAAAATCCAGCTCTCATTAGTCATCAGTCGATCTATCTTCTACTACATCATGGGTTCCGGCGTGTTTGCTGATCCATTTTCCCGTGCCACACTTGGGGCCCATGCTGCCATGTTCGTCATGACCACGATGGTAAAGTCCACCCCACTTGTTTTAAATGGACCATTTGCTCACTCTCGTAGATCTTCGTGGTTGCACATCGCGCTATCAAAGTCGACATGAGTCCTCTTTGGGTCAGCATACCTGAAAATATTCCTTTTGTCGGTTCCGGATCCGGAAACAATAGTCCGATGTCTAACAGCCCCGATAACAATGGATCCAACAGTTCCAGAGTAGGAGGGACCATGGAGGATATCCTGGACGAGATCATGAAACCCAATAGAGGGCCTCTCAACACCTCTCAAATCAATGCCGGGATGACCGGATCCTCCCAAGGATTAGAATCTCAAGCCTATCAAAGAACCCCGTACCAACGTCCCAACACTACAAGGAATACAGGGCATAATCTTCCAGACATTGGAAGACAACCAAACCGTCCATCCTACACACCCCAACGTATTACTCAAAGATTCGACTCCCCGTTTACGCCCCCTGGACAAGTCATCGCCGGACTGACCAAACATAGGCCTCTCCTAAGTGATATGACAGACCAGGAAGGTTCCCACTGGCTGAGTACAAGCGAGCTACCTGCTCGTTTTCAAGATCAGTATGGCAAAGATCGACAAACAGATAGCTGCACAGAAGAGATGGAGTGGCAACCAACTTTACCACAGAAGTCCACGCACCGAGCTTTCGCCCCTTCACGTCCATTACAGCACGAATCATTACAAGATAATTCCCAGAGATTTGGTGCGACGCCTGCCGGTGACCAATCATCCCCATTCTGGTTCAAAGTTCCGGCCGCCCCTCTCACGCCGGCTCAGAGGCTTAGAAATCCACCCAACCAACCCAGAATGAGAGTCTCACCCGCTGAGGTCAAAGACAACTTCTTTGGAACTCGGCGAGAGCCCGTTGTAAAGTCTTCGGATTATTCTAGCGACTTTGCTCAGCAGCGATTGTTCTTTCAGGAGAAGCCCAGCGAGGGGGATGCTTTGGCAGGAATGTTGGATTCGTTCTCGCTTGGTGAAGAGAGGAGCAGTGTCACGAAAAGTGGGACCAAGCAGACCTCATATTTTGTGCTGAGCTTAGGCATAGCAGCTGGATGTCTGTTAGCTTGGTTTTGTTGCTAAAATATGGAGTACAGAATGTGATATATAAGGATAGGGAGTGAGGAGTACATAGCAAGCACTGGTAGGCGTTTCGGAAGCTGCGGCATAGAAAGGCTGCCTTGGGATAGTGTTCAGGGAGTACATAGGTAGGCTACGAATGATGAACTCGAAATTTCAGGGTCTTGTGCACAGCTGATGGCCAAAACTGGCTGTTAAATTGAGTTATCATTATACCCCGCTTCTAATGCCGAAACTGAAGACCTACCTAACTTCACCAACCAATGACAATGTTCCTGGTATTAATATGTTTTTCTAAGCTAACTCTGAAGTTATGCCGCTTGCAGATGCTTACAGATCCTCCTGGGCACATGGGATAGCCGATCGTCTTTCCACACAATTATGATTTTGGTGGAAGGAGGAAGCATCTATTCCTTCTGTGCTGGGTGTGTATGGAGCAAACAATATTAGTAGTGAACTTGGGAGAATGTTGAGAAAGAGACGTCTTCGGTATGATGGATGACCAGCTGTGCTAGCGCTATGAGGGGTATCGCGGTGAGTAAGTAAGATGAGTTTTCGATCGGTATATCTGGGAAGTTGCGAAGAACACTGCGTTGCTGATAGGTGATAGAGAGAGAGAGAGTAACAGACCATGCACCTCAGTACTGACGAAAGACATAGTGGGATGTCGGGGCTTCTGAGTGCTCGGAGTGATCACGATCAGACGATGAGTGGAATGAATCTGACTGGATATACGATCCAGTGGTGCTGGAGAGAGTCTGTAATAGCCTTGTTGTGGTTTTGGATCCGAAGTGCTATACCGCACACAGATAATATTGTTATTTCTTTCGATTCATTCGTAACTCCATAAGGAGAGCCGGCTGCAAATGGATGCTGGTTTTCGAACTGAGAGAATTGTGATGGTTGTGAGTTTGGTGCCGCGGTGGTCTCATGCTCTAACGTCCCTCCCTGTACCACCCACGTAAGGAGTTGAGTTTGGGGGTTCGAGGAGTACCCTGCTTACGGATCTATTGCTTGGTTGCATCCGTGGGCTTGGTCAAGGTCTTGGAAAGGACGTGTCACGATCTAGGAAGTGGCTAGTAACTGACTCTGGCACCGGTACTTGAAAGGTATAACCTACTGTACCGGTATCTCTGTGTCTGAAGCTTGAATTGCCGACGAAGACTATTTGAGGATTGCTCCATTTTGGTGTACGGGGTACATGTCGAGCAAGTGCCGCACCCATTCACGCGCCCCATAAAGCTACTGCAAGAGACAAATAGTAACACAGAGATGTAAGCCATTGAAATCCGAATAGTGCATCGATGATTCGCCCTTGCTCTCGGAAGCTGCCTATGCAGAATGGGTTTGTTTTGAGCAGGGATATGTACAAGCGAAATTCCGAATGGAGAAATCCTACCACGACATCTCTCCGATCTGCAATCTCATAGACAGACGTTTTTGATTGAATGATCGACATCAGAAGGAAGAATAATTGTACTAATATTAGGTAGGGTCAGCACAACTTGCAGAGGTGGACAGTGGGGCGCCAATAGAGGCTATAACGATAAAGGTGTTAAGAAGTGCGTTAGCCGTAACTCATTGTTTACTCCCGTAAAGAAGTCTCGGATCCTGTATTTGGCTTGGTTCTGGTGGCAAATTGGGCCCAAACCAAGACACGGATATACTAGCGGTAGTCCTTTTGCTATGAAGGTGTATTCCTTCCTACTGTATGACTCCATGACTCTTAACCGTCCGTACGCTAAGTACTGCTATTGTTCTTTTACTAGTCGTACATTAAATAGTCGTCAAAAGACAGGAGATTGTACGTAGAAGCCGTCGCCAGAAAAGTTCGACGTCTTGATTGGACAGGAACGATGTATGGAGTCTGCGAGATTACCATGCTAAACCCCCCTGAAACCCTACGCTATAACATATCCCCTTACATGACGAGTTCTATAGGGTGACCAGCTCTGGCAAAACCCTCGGGATTATACTTAATTTACATCAAAATTGTTGTGGAGCTCTGTCTGGATCCTCTAAATATATGCGAGATGCCGTCATCTCTTGGGGGAAACCCTAAGCATATACTGAATAATACGCTGGGAATGTACGGTGCAGACCGGCTGTTGTCCAGAGTCCAGAGTCTGGAGTCCAGACCCCTGGATGCAATGATCCTCGACGTGCACAAGTGTATGAGGCTGTACAGTAGCGCTACGCGCGGTCGCCGCTTCTTTTTCAGCCTCGTGTTATTGTTCAGGTGAAATCGGAACGGATGGGCTAGCGAGTCATCCTCATCCTCATCCTCATCTCCATCCTGATCCTGATCCTGATCACTTCAAATTGATCGACCGTCTCTTTGAATGTCGTGTACAGTGTTTACGACGCAACTACTTTTCTTCTGTGAGGTCCAGTGATTATTTTACTACCGGCAGTCCAGCACTGCATTTGTATAATTCTGCCTAGGGCCGAGCTTGACGACGCACTATCCTCAAAGCGAGCTGCTAATGGGCGTGGTGAATCGTTAGGCCACCGAACCTCATTCTCTTAAATTCTAGCACTGATCAATCACCCAGCGATGAAATCATCAGAAAGCGAGGTCGCCCTATAAAATCCCCGTCGCCCGCTCGACCTTTTCAAGTTTCGACACTCTCCTTCTCCCTCACTTAAAGCTCACCCACGACGGCCTCGACACAACTCCCAACTCCGAACAGAAGACATCAATTATGCCTTCGACACTTAATACCCAACGCGCCCGTCGCGGTCTCCATTGAAGTCCCGCTCGAGCAGGAATTTGCCCTCCCAAGGGTTTAATCGTTTGCGAATCCAGCCTCAACTGTGGAGTGCCTACGAACTACCCAGAACCAACTACGTGTACGATAATTAAGATGAGCGGAATGACGGAAGTTAAGAGGCGGTCCGCACGAGTCTACACTGAGGAAGAAAACGCCAGCGGAAGCAGAAATGCCGAAGTGGATGCTCGCCTCAGAACAAAGAGCATAGATGAGATTGAACTGAAAAATAGCGAGTCAAGAAACTCCTCGAAGGAATCCAAGACCAGAAAGTCCATGGTCGATCTTGGGAAAGACATAAATATATTTCCAACCACAGAGGAAGATATCGAAAAGCATAGTGAGTGTGCCACATCCCAGTATCATCAGAAATGATGGATATCAAATGGTTTAGTCAGGCTATTTCATAATGCGCCTTGAGTGCATAGCAAAAAAGTGAGGCATTTACTAACTGACAATTAGTCACCCAAAGTCTCGAAGCCGCCAAAGCCTCCAAAACAAAGGAAGAGGCTCGGCCAACCAACCTTGGTGTCGTTATTCCAGGAAAGATATATCGCAGTAGCTGGCCCACCGACGAAGATTTCCTACACCTTGAGGCTTTCGGGCTGAAGACTGTCCTGTCAGTAGCGCTTGAGGCCACCTTCCCCGTTACTGATACTGATATCCACCACAGATCTCTTGTCCAAAACGATTTCTCTTTTGCGTTCAAGGACTTTGTTAAGAAGAATGACATCGCTCACAAAATCATTGACATGCCGGGAACGAAGAAGGTTGCTATCACACAGGAATTAATGCAATCGATCATGGAGATTGCTCTTGACGAGTCAAGCTATCCTCTTTTGATACACTGCAATCATGGAAAGGTATTTATTCAAACAAAAATTACTAGACGAAGCTAATCTCGACCAAGCACCGTACTGGCTGTGTAGTTGGAGTCATTCGTCATGTTGCGAGATGGGATGTCGAATCGATCGTCGAGGAATACCGGGGATACGCAGATCCCAAGGTGCGAGACTGTGATGTTGCCTATATCACTGACTACCAGGCTTCAAGCCTTCATGGTCTCTTTGTGAACGAGACAATTGTGAAGGGCCAGAGACCCAATTTGTCTGAACAGTCCAACGAAGACCAGTCCCCGCCAGCTGTTCCTTTAGAGTACAACCCTTTAGGGCATGATCTCCACCTGGGGCGCAACCGAGAAGATCGAGCGGACCTTCCTCTTCAGCGTCGGAGAATGGGTCGGTATCTCATGGCGTCTGCTTTCGCTCTTGCCGTTTGGTTCACCACTGGCTTCTACTGGCACTCCCACAATTGGAAGTGGGAGCCCCTTGAATAGAGGCGTTTTCGGGGCAGTTGATGGCATTTGGTATATGGAGAAGGCACATGCTCTGAATTTCCATTGCCATTTGCATGGTGGTGTTGGGTGTTGGGATAGAAAAGTCGTCACCACCGAAGATATCGGGCACGACGCTGGGGCTGGGTGGAGATTCGGCATGCATTGGGGGGAGGCACTGGACATAGAGAGTCTTTCTCTTACATCATGGTCGCAGTTGGCTGGGCGTTCTGGGCGTTCTGGATGGGAACCACAGGAGTCATTGGGTTCTGTAAAACATCAGATCCTGCACCCCTGAGCGAGCAGCTCTTTATGTATGCCTCGTTTCTCGAGAGTGTGCTGTGCTGTTTCCTTTGAAGTCGTTTACTCTAATCGTTTAGATGGCTTTGAAGCTCGGTGCATAGTGCCAAGTGGTACCGATTCTTCAGATACTAATCACGACAGGGCTTGCAAGGAATGTATCGACAGGCAGCTTGCCACATTGGAGAAGCAAGAGCCCTCTGTTTTACTCAGTGAGCGGACGAACGACTCCAGGGCAGTAACAGCGCCTGTCGAACACTACCATCATTAACCTGACTCCTTTTGCAGGGGTGCATTTCGGTATATAATAACCTTGGGATAGGTACCTATTTGGAATATGGGAACCTGGGATTATTCGCGTCGCATAGCTTGCTACGATTTGCCCCTTGTATCTATGAAGACAACTATCTGCTAACACAAGACACAGGCCAATCCTCGCAACATGCTGGCTCTTCTAAACTTCGGAGCCTCCACAGATCCGGAAGGCGACCATTTACATTATGTCTTCCTTCCCAGATTACTCTTCCAACGCCTGTTTTCAATTGTGGTCCTCAAGACGAAACAAGTTAATAGCGCAATCTGGCATGGCGAATTCTCATTTCTTGCTCTATTTCGAAAAGTTTGTTGCTTCGCCGGTCTACTACAGCTAGCTAGCTGCCAGATCAGGTCTTTTTAAATACCATTGGGATCAGGCGTTCGCCTCCACCTTGAAGTGGCAGTAATGTCCTAAACCTGAAAATGACTTCTCAAGGATCACCGACTTGAATAAGGGTGTGCCATGAGTGCAAAGGTAGGTTTAGTTTTCGGTTTTATGTTCTGTATTTAGGAAAGTCTACAGCCGCTCCGATTTCAAGCTACTAGTATCTTCTCAAATCAAAATATTGCATCCAGGACTACCAAACTCTAGTTCCCCCCGCTCTACACACACGAATAGATGGATGTTAAGCTTTCATTTTCATCATGTTACAGCTGTGATTCCCTGTCCACGTGAAATACGTAGTAGCATCGTCTATCTGTACATTATCAGAACCTCCCCTTTCTATCTGTGTACCTATCAACACCCTTTTTGGCGACCGTGTGGTCTACTGTTGTACAAGCCCTGTTCCCTTTCCACCTCTATATTATGCGCCGTCCGCCCATTCTCCCACCTTTTCCCTTACGGTGCGCTCTCCTCCGCCTCGGTACTCCTCTTCCCAAACGCATAAGTGATTCCGCACCCAACAACATTAACACCCGCCAACCCCATAGCAGCTCCCCTCGTCAACCCCCTTGCCCCAAACTTCGAGCCCATCCTCCCTGCAAAACTCGTACCCTTTACCTTCCTACGCCTCGCAAGCAGTAGGTAAAGACCGGACCAGGCCGCGGTGATGCCCGCAGAGTCAATTTTGTAGTCCGAGAGGTTTAGGTAGGTGCTGAAGAGGAGGACTGGTGCGAATGCGAATGGGAGTGGTTGGAATGGGCGCGCGTGGAGGGCAGTTATCACGGTTGCGGTTGCCATCGGGGGAAGGGGGTTTTCTGAGGGATAGTTTGTTAGGATTTGGGTTGGTTTGGTGTTAAGTGAAGGAAGACAAAGCTGAGAGGGGGTACTTACTGCCCCATTCTGTGGCGTAGGCGATGGCTGTCTTCTTTGCGACATCTGTATCTTTGGAAGACATTTTCAATTGTCTTTCAGCGTAATGTTCTTATATCGGTCAGCTCACGCGCCAGTTAGTAGTCGGTATTTTCAATGTTTTTGAAGCTGACAATTGAGAGCATTGGTATCTCAGCCTGGATATCTTTTGCAAGCTTGATGCCCGTCATTGAACCTTGCTACTTAGCGCCTTCCGCACGTGCATTGGATGTTATCCAAGGCCAACAACAAGTGAGGAACTTCAAAGCCAAACCGAGCATCTGGCCATTACGATTTGCTACCACCAACGTCCACGGAATCTCCATCGCTTCAACCGACTTCGCACCCATCCTCAACAATCCCCAATCGCTGCACGCTGGGAGACTACAGTAAATCGCTGCGTCATGCCCGCAGCCACCACCTCCGGCGCCGATGCGAAGACTAACGGGTCCGCTCCTCGCTCGCGCGAACACAAACAGGGAAACCAAGAAAAAGAAGTAAAAGAAGAACATAGACGCGAGGTCATGCGGATACGGAAATGCCACCCTCTCGCCTTCTACGACATTTTGAACCTCGAGTCTGTCAAGACGACATGCACAGAAACCGATATCAAAAAAGCCTACCGCAAGGTCAGTCTGCTGACGCATCCGGATAAAAATGGGCATGAGCATGCGGATGAGTGCTTTAAGATGGTGAGCAGGGCGTTTGGGATCCTTGGGGATAAGGAGAAGAGGGCGAAATTTGATAGGCATGGGGGCGATCCGGACAGTCGATTCGGAGGGGGAGCGCAGCCACAGAGTAATCCCTTCTCTGGGTTTTCGAGGGGCACACCGAGACAGAATGCCGGGGGTGGGGGTGGGGGGATGTGGGAGGAGGAAATTAGTCCCGAAGAGATGTTTAGGAGGTTCTTTGGTGGAGGCGGGTTGGGAGGTGGATTTGGGCCTTTTGGCGGTAAGTCTAGTGATGGAGAAGAAAGATTATGCCAGGACTAACCATGTGCCAGGAGGAGGTTTTGACAATGGGCCAGGATTCGTTTTCAATATGGGAGGGGGCCCAGGAGTCAGAATCCATCAGTTTGGAGGAGCGAGACCTAGGAGAAGACCAAGAGATCCAAATGCGCCCCCGGAGCAAGCTGCCTCGCTACAGTCCACTCTTATAGGACTGTTGCCACTACTTTTCGTTTTGGTCCTCCCGATACTGTCATCTCTATTCTCTGGAGACGGATCTGCCGCCTCAGGACCATCAATGCGATTCGATAATGCAGTACCACCGCACACGCTGCATCGGCATACGTCTCGATTCAAGGTTGACTACTTTATAAATCCCAACGACGTCGAAAACTTCACTCCATCCCAGTTTAGGCAGCTCGACTCGAAAGCAGAGACCAGTTTCATCTCACGCCTTAGTGTCGAGTGCCAGCAAGAAGAACATGCTAGGCAGGAACTCGTCAACCAAGCGCAAGGTTGGTTTTACCAGGATGGGGAAAAGATGGCGCAAGCGAGAACGATGCCGATGAAGAGCTGTAAGAAGTTAGATAGTATGGGGTTGAGCAGGCAGCAGTAGCGAGCGAGCTGCGGCGCATCCATTCTCTGTATATGTTGGGATTCTCTTGTAGCATGGCGTTGGGCATCGCAGCATCACTGGTGGGCTGGTTTGATTGCAGTTACGGACGATGGGCTTCTTGGTCGTCGCATCACCTCATAAAAGACAATGGAGTCGTCTCGCTCGCCAACTTGGCTGGATATACCTTCAGAACTCTCCATGAATGACTAGAGAATACTAAAGTTGGTGGCTTGGCTAGTGTACAAACTCGCAAACTGACTGTAGAGTTAGGTCAAAAGGTGACTACAATTTGTACGGATCTATATGGGGTAGCGAAACAGCTTGTACAACCCAGTTCGTACAGTCGATTTTAGCTCTAAACTAAAAGCCGAGCACACCCTCGGTCTGTACAAATCGGGCCAGTTTATACAAACTAGCGTTGAACCAAATGGGCTCTATGTAGCACACCATACATAATTTTTCTACGCTATTTTTTCTTGTTAAGACACGGTAGAACTAGCTAGTCGGTCGCGGAGCTTATTCGAAAAGGTCCTCCTCACCGTTCGAGTGCTTACTACCAACTACCAACTACAACTTCCACCTTAGCAGATGATAAAATCCATCACCCTAGCTTGTCAGTTATCGCTATTGCAGAAAGGCACGTACCTGAAGAAGCCTAGCGGTTTGTTAGCGAATCCGACATCCCCGCAGATTACCTTATCACTTCTGCCGTGTTGGACAACTTCTCCGACAAGGCTGAACTTCGATACCTTCACGTCAAAACATCACCATGGATAACAGTCCTCCACCTCCACCGGCGCCTCCGGCCAGTCTACCAGAGGCACCAGATAAGGAGACGATGGCCCAGGTCAGGCAACTCTATAATTCTCGGAAACCGAGTGGCTAATCTATATAGATCCGCAAGAGAAGAATGGAGAAGCTCTCCGGAACAGGGACTCCAATCTCTAAGCCCGAGGGAGAAACAGGAGGCACCTCCGCTTCAAATCCAGTGGAGAGAGCATCCACAGAGTCTACCCCGCCGAAGAAGATGCTCACATCCAAACCACCAACACCAGCTTCGAGACCGACCGAGAACCCCAATCCCTTTGCGAAACTCGGTGCCCAAGCGCCCACTTCTACAACCCTTCCAACAGTAAGAACTTCTGATTCAATCGCCACGGCGACTTTAAAAAGAAAGCGTGCTGAGATCGATACGCAGGCGGCAGCCCGACCTCCGCGAACTTCGACCATGCCACCAGCGGAAGAACCCATCGAGCAGTGGGCACACAGAACCCTTGGTGGCATCTTCAGAGTCACCTTGGACCCAGACCAAAAAACCGACTCCAACAACCACAAGCTGATCTTCCTGCCACAATTAAGACAGGAGTTGGAGGAAGAGAAAGTACCGGTGCTGTTGACGAAGGAGCGCTTGGATTCGGCCATCCTCGAGGCGGCATCAACGATCCCCAATAACAGGCCTGTTTTGGATTATTTGCTTCCATGCTGGAAGAGAGTGATGAAGGCTATCAAGGGATTGAGGGGTTATACTGGTGCCAAGGATGCGCTGTTGAAGGAGGCGAAGAGACTGTGCATGAGCAACTGCGTCTTTGCTGTAGAGATGCCAGAGTTGTATGGGTAAGTTATGGCAGGCATTGTTACCGCAAGCTTAACTTACTGACATGGGTACAGCCGTGAGCCTAATCCAGCCACAGACTCGCTAACACCGTACTTGCTGCTCGAGGGTGGTGAAGACAACGGTATCTGCCCAGACTTCCTAACTGAGGTGGTGAGTAGATTCGACGAAGATGAGACGGTCAAGCCCATGATCACCAAGGCCATCGCCGGAATGAGCTTGCAGCTGTCTAACATGACCATGAACGACAACTACAAGCCATACATCAATGCATTGAAGAACTTGTGTCAATTCAAACCCATTGCAATTGCTATCACTCAAGACCCGCTGTTCCAAATGGCTACTTCGGCGCCGGGCATCGAAAAGCACACAATTCTTGGACCTTTCTTTCGGGTATCTCCTCTCCAGCCAGAGGTTACGAAGGAGTACTTCGCTAGCCCGAAGACTATGGACAAGAGACACATCGTCAACTCCCAAGACGCTTTACGACTGACCCTACAAGCTCATCAGAGAGATTTACTTGATATCGTCAACCAGCTTGTCCGTGCCAGCCCAGAGGCTAGAAATAAGATTCTGGACTGGTTTGCGTACATCGTCAACTCGAACCACAAGCGCCGAGCTTTGCAGCCGGACGCCTCGCAACTGTCCACGGATGGGTTCTTGATAAATGTTACAGTTGTCCTGGATGGGTTATGTGAGCCCTTCATGGATACGATGTTCTCAAAGGTTGACCGAATCGACGTGGACTACTTGAGGCGAAAGCCCCGAGTTGATATCAAGGAGGAGACGAAGCTCAACGCTGATCAAGAGGCATCTGACAAATTCTATGCAACCGATGCTCCTGGCACATCAAACTTTATTTCCGAGATATTCTTCTTGACTGTTGCAGCTCATCATTACGGTAGCGAAGCCACCAACAGCATGCTAAAGTCGCTCGAGAAGGATATTAAGTTCTTAACCGGCAAGGTAGCAGAGCTGGAAGCAGAGAGACCCAAGTTTGCCAATGTGAGTGCGGCATACTCCACCTTACGGCTCTGCTGACAAACATAGTCACCAATGAACATGGCGAGATTTGAGGAACAGCTGAGAAGATTCAACGAAGTCTTGGACAAATCGATGTCTCTCAGATACGCCATTCAAGGTGTTCTGTTTGACAAGGTCATGCAGGCCAAGTCTCTGATGTTCATGAGAGTTGTCACTGTGTGGCTCCTGAGAGTTGCGACAGGCTCGAACTATACTCCTGACAAGACCATCACCTTACCGCTACCAGCTGCGCAACCTGAGGCCTTCAAGTGTTTGCCCGAATATGTTCTCGAAGACATTGTTGGCAATTTCAACTTTATCTTCAGGCATATTCCCGATGTCATGATTTCGGCAGTTGGAGACGAGGCAATTGCCCTTTGCATCACGTTTCTGACTAACTCTGAATACATCAAGAATCCCTATCTCAAGGCCAAACTTGTCACTCTGCTGTTCAACGGCACCTGGCCAGTATACCACCGAACGAAGGGTGTGCTCGGCGACTCACTGATTGGGCTGAAGTTTGCGAATGATCACTTACTCCATGCTTTGATGAAGTTCTATATCGAGGTAGAGAATACCGGAGCACACACTCAGTTCTACGACAAATTCAACATTCGCTACGAGATCTTCCAGGTTATCAAGTGTATTTGGGCAAACGATGTCTATAGAAATCGCCTGACGCAGGAGAGCAGAGTCAATACGGAGTTCTTTTTGAGATTTGTCAATCTTTTACTGAACGATGCCACCTACGTCTTGGGCGAAGCTCTCGAGAAATTTCCGAGAATTCACAACATCCAAGGAGAGCTGAGAAACCCTCACTCTACCTTGACGGCCGACGAACGTACGGCCAAAGAAGAGGAGCTTGCGACGGCTGAACATCAAGCACAGTCGTACATGCAACTGACCAACGAGACGGTCTCCATGATGAAGCTGTTCACTGAGACTCTAGTCACCTCTTTCACCATGCCAGAAATCGTTGATCGGGTTGCGGCCATGTTAAATTTCAACCTCGATTTACTTGTCGGTCCAAAATCCACCGAACTCAAGGTTGACGATCCAAAAAAGTACCAATTCGACCCCAAGACACTCCTGGCCGAGTTCACCGACATCTACCTCAACCTGGGCTCCTCCGAAAACTTCTATAATGCCGTGGCTCGTGACGGTCGCTCCTACAAGCCAGCCAACTTCGACAGCGCCACCCGCATTCTCACTCGCTTCAGTCTCAAGTCCGGCGAAGACATTGCTAAATGGGAGCACCTCAAGAAGCAATTCAAGATCGCCAAGGAGATTGACGACCAAGAGGAAGAGGACCTTGCCGACGCCCCCGAAGAATTCATGGATCCCTTGCTCGCATCCCTGATGACGGACCCCGTTCAGCTCCCGATGAGTAAGATGATCCTAGACCGCAGCACCATCAGCAGCCATCTTCTCAGCGACCCGAACGACCCATTCAATCGTGCGCCGTTAAAGATTGAGGATGTCATTCCTATGCCGGATCTGAAGGCTAGGATTACGGAGTGGAGGGATGGAATGCGGGCGAACGCCAAAGCGGCGCGAATGCAAAAAATGGATACGACGCAGGGTTAGAGGATGGAGGTATGCATTGGGACCGGGCGGGAGCATGGCGTTCGTGACTTGAATGAAGCGCTGCATGGGGCAGGGATTGATTTGGAGGCGAACAAGAATTGGAAGCGAACAGTGCATGGCTTTGTAAAAGGAGCGAGATCTCGTGAATGTGCCGTACAAAAAGAATGCAAGATATTTTTTTTGGAGTGGGTCTCGCGATTTCCCAGTTAGTTATAGGAGTCATAAGGTATTAAAGTCCTATAACATATCTCAGCTTGATTCCATCTTGCTTCGATGTGTCTACCCAAATAACATTCGGTTAACTGATTATACTAGAAAACAAAAAGCAGCATTTCGGCTAGCCATCACCGTTGAATGTTTTTGGCAATAGAAATGTGTGCTGCAAGCTTTCAAGTCGTCCCTTCTGGAACAGCATTTTCAACCTCAAAGATTGTCTCCAAGGCAATCGAGTCTGTTCATCCCTCCTCATACTTATCACCCCAGTCGAGAAATCGTTTCTCATTCTCTCATTTGCAGCTCAGCTCTGGGCTCCTATTTTTCGTGCGTTGTATATGGCCGGTCATTGCCTTTTCACAGCATAGCTAGTGTTCGTGTTGCTGGTAAAGTTTTGCGGAAACGACAAGGACTAAATTCAGCGGTGCATCTGCTAATTTATCGGGCTTCATATTTCCAATGGGCAAAGCGCTTCTGTTGACTTCCTATACGGATATACGTAACGGGCAAGCTACTCCAGATGTTCATTTACTGTTTGCGGTCCGGGAGGTTCAGACTGATTAAACTCTCGTTATATTTTTCGAGACAGGAAAGTCTTGAATCTGGTTCTGGCATTGGTTGTGGCCTCGTCGGCTTCCGCCCTTACGCCTTGAGCCGTCTGCAATACCGATAACCATCTGCGAGGTCAGCTCTCTTTAGTTGCATACGAGGATCAATCATATACTGAGATTCTGTCTTCAAAGCACTGCGATGTTTCAGCATGTCCAGCATCATCTGATTGTGCTGTTTATTTTCAAATTGCTGTCATTCCTGCCGCAGAGTGAGTATTCGCATGACAAACCTTCCGATGGAATACTACCATGAAATAGTTTCAAATATAGGATAATCCCGTTCACTGTCCTCTCTTCTGCTGTTATCACATCCATCATTGGTGTGACACAAATGAACAGTCTTTAGTAAGCCGCAACCCTGAACTACGATCTTGCCTCCGCGGCGGGCAAGAAACCGTTGAGATGTACGTGCGTATGATGCTGGGAATGGAACATGCGATGAGTTATGTGAGTAATGGGAGGATATAGTGTTTTTGGGTACCATGGGGGAGGGGACTGAGACAGCTTGGTATAATAACGAGACGAAATTTACTAACAGCAATACTATTGTTGCATTAAATATACGGTTCAAGACTGTCCAGAATCGATTAATTGGTTGGGTTCTGATCGATATCAATCAGAGATCAGAGGAAAGGCTGAGCCGAAGAGAGCTAACTAGTACCTCGAAGTATTGCTTGCTTTGTTCAAACCCCAGGCACTCCAAACATTTGCCACATGCTCTCTCTCATCTCCATTTCCCTTACGGTTCAGTGTTCAAAGAGCCTACTGTTGCGTCGTGTTCAAGCTTGTCCATCTTGTGACCTTCGACTTCCGAGCTGAGCCGAGCTCTTGTAGTGAGTGGCTGGCAACTTTGGTCATGGAAACCACCGCACCAACTGATACCGTCTGGAAAACCGACAAAATTCCAGCACGAAAATCTTGACTGCGCAAATTAGAGTTCCGCAGTAAGCGTTCATAACCAATAGGCAGACACTTGGTTGAATAACGAGCGAAACACTGCATTTCGTTGGCCCGGGGCTTATGTACTTATTGTGTTGGAGAGATGACAGACATACGGGCCAGACACAGTTGTTTTCATGCTCATGAGGTATTGCTTATCCATGCTTCTCTTTGCTATCGATGCAAAAATAATAAATATTTGCGTCTCGGTATACGAATCTGTCGGACGGTCTCTGAAGTGATGTTTACATCCATCCTTTTAAATTCTCGCTTAATCTCAGGGGCTCGCCGTCAACCTCAACCGAGTGCCGAGGGTGGAATGGAGGGGTCAACTGCCTGCCGCTCTATCCACAACGGGTGATTATCAAATCTAGCCAGTTGCTACCTTCGTCGGATCTCGGCTGACTCCGGTCCGGCCTCGACCCACGTCGTTACGAGACTTGCACAGCTACGCTTCTAGCTAGCTACAGCAGTCTTACCTGCTTGACTCTCTTTTGTGGTTCTCCCTTGACGAAAGATTTCTTTCCTTGTGATCCATCCTATCTGTAGGGGAAGGGAGCACACGACAGTAGCACTCGCTACAGCACTATGAATTGCTTTCTGGAGCCTTCTTGTGTGTAACTCCTTAGCTTAGCACGTCGCCGTAACCCATGGGAGGTCCCAGGGCGGCAGGCTTCGCCTACTACCCGCCCGACGTAAATAAATACAACAACAACAACAACAACTACCTTCGTCGGATCTGAACGCAACAATAATTACCAGAAGCCCGGATATCCGTCTCGTATCTAGTCTAGGAGGGTCTCTCAGACTTGACTCCTTTTTGACACACGGAATTATCCCGGAAGCACCCCTCACGATAGAGAGCGCTTTACAAGTTCGGCCAGCCCCCCAGTAGTGGAGTCCGAGCAGAATCCAGAAGTCCCTCGCTATGACCAATTAATCCGTTTACTCAACTCCGTTCGCGAAGCTGCCAAACCCCAAGAGGGTGTGGGATGGGTCACCCCATCGTCCTCCTTGGAGGGAATAGGTATGTAGCCCTAGCGCCGTTGCTCGACCAAATCCAAGTTCTGAGGCTGATACGACACAGGGCGGAAGTCCCTTCTCACTCCAGAAGTTGTGTCCTCTGCAGCAGCGTCGGAGATCCAGACCGGTAGGAGAGTCGGGCTGGGCTGGGACGTGGCCAAGCTCGAGTTCTCCCAATTTGGGAGACAGAAGTGTGTACACGAGCTCATACCTCTCATGGGACCGGGAGGGAGTGGCTACGGTGCTTGCTTGCTTTGACGATACCTACTCTATGAACCCACCACGTAAGTTAGTTCCCCCCCAAAGCTCGGGCTACTCTGCTCTCGATGGCCCCGATGTCGAGAGAGTCTCTTCTACGGTGGGACTACCAGAGAGGAAATCACGGACGCCTCTAGCTATAGAAACCGCAAGGATCACGAGGACATATATATCTAAACATATATGTAAAAATCGGACTGAAAAAAAAGGGCTAACAAACTTAGCAACCCCCTTGAAATCAACAGTGAAACTCTTCTCCTCAACCTTCCAGCTCTCTCGCGCAGATTCACATTTATCACGACTCGAAGAGCTCACTACTCGTCTCCTCCTCTCCCTCCGTCCTCACCTCGATCGATGCCGCGGCTCAACATGCTACCTTTTACCTTTACCTTTACCTTCACCTTCACGTTTTCCCCTACGCCTACAGAACACAGGAATCCTATCCGCATGAACAACAAACATCTCGTGAAAACACATGCTTAATTATTCATTCGCCCCCTCGAGAGATAAAACTACCACAATCCGCCTCCAATCAAATAAGATAAATAATAAAATACCCCCCCCCCCCTCTCTTTTTATTTTTATCAAAATAAATTTATATACATATAAATACATATATACACCCTTCCATGCAAAGACAAGCCCCAAACCTCAAGCCTCCTTCCATACTCTCTTAGAAACACCCCCCCTTCCCCCTCCCCCCTCCTCTTCCCTCTTTTCTTTATTAACATACATATATACACACACATATAAATATAAATACACACACACTTCCATGCAGAGACAAGCCTCAAGCCTCAAGCCCTCAAACCCTCAAACCTCAAGCCCTCAAATCCCAAACCTCAAGCCCCTCCCTCCCTCCCCTCTCTCTCTC